GTTGCTCCACTAAGGTTAAGGCCAACTCGGGCAGCGCCATACGACCAATGCCGTAGTCAGGATTTTTAAACGGTGTGGGACAGTGTCAGGTTGGACCCACTTTACGCGTAAATTCAAATAATGTAGACACATTATCTTAAAAGTTGTCCCATTTTACGCAAAAATATTAATAATCTGGACCCATTTTCTTAATAAATACCCATTTTACTCAAAATATGAGAAATCTGGACCCATTTCTTAAAAGTTGACCCATTTTACACAAAATATGCCAAATCTGGACCCAGTTTTAAAATGTGGACCCATTCTTTGTGGACCCTATGGAAAAATTGTGTAGTAGGACTGTCCGAACTGTCACAATAGCTGGCTACGGCATTGGAGCCCGACGCGATTCATCATCGGGGACAGTCTGAAGCCGTCGTGAGAAATAAAAACACATGTTTAATATTCTATGGCGCGACCGCCCACGACGTAAACCGCCGTGTCTGCATTTAATTTGCACAAACCCGACAAATCGCATCGGGCTGACAACATTGAGTTGACCTTTACAGTGGCGTATCTAAGAGTTGGGGAGGAGATAAATGGGACGTGAAGGTGAAGTGGGGGTTGAGCTCGTAAAATAGGTTGATCCGAGGTGATTTTTTTTTTTTATCAAAAGTGTGTAATGGTGTCAAGGGAGTGTCTGGCTTAACAAGATTTTTCCGCGGTTGTGCAAACACCCCACTGAAGGATTAGTGTAAAATATTGTGCAGTATATAATATTTATTAGTTGCTTTCGTCCGCACAGTGCATTTCATGAGGAGTGCAGCAACTCCTGTTTCCTATTAAAAATTTCCAATCATCCATATATGGTCGTAACACAGACAATCATGGTAAACACAGCAGATAGCAACAATTTATATGAGCAGTAATCAGCAGAGGATGTCAATTGTTGATAATCAGTACAACTTCATTTATAAACATCTGACTGTCGTAAGTTAATGGTTTATTTTGTTTATACTGAAGTTGGCTAGAGTATATACAGTAAACCTCTTGCTTAAGATAAGGACTTGCCTCCCAAAGAGCAATGCACTTTTTCTATGAAAAAAATCCATGCAGTGGAAAGAGTTGAAAGCTTCAAATATCTTGGAATTACTTTTGATTCACTTATGTCATGGAAAAATCATGTAGAGCAAGTTACATCTAGACTATCACAACGTATTAGTATTATTCGTAGATTAAGATGTTCCATTCCTAATTATGCTTTAAGACTGCTTGCCAGTGCAATTGTACTTCCTTGTTTTGATTATTGTAATGTTTGGTCAAATTGTAGTTCTGAAAATATTATTAATCATCTTCAAATTCTCCAAAACAGGCTTGCTAGAATCCTTCTCTATGCTGATATGTACACCCCTATTACTGAACTAATGTACGTGTTAAATTGGAAGTGTGTTCATGACAGATGGGAAAACGATATTAAAATTATGGTATTTAAATGTCTACAGGGGTCTGCCCCAATCAATCAATCAATTTCAATTCATGGACACCCTCCACCCAAAAAATACTAGAAGCCAATCTACAAATACATTGATAATTCCAACACGGAAAAATACTCATGGGAAGAGAACCTTTTCGATACTGAGCATCAATGCTCTGGAATGACCTTCCAGTTGATGTTTGTAAACATTTCCAAACTATTTATTAAGTTGATTTTTAAACCTTTTAATTTCTTTGGTACATTGTATTTTTATTGTTTTTACCTCTTTTTTCTTTCATCTGTAATTATGTTAAATTATTTTTACTTAATCTGGACCTCTTGGGAGACCAGTACATCAATTGTATTGAAATGAGCTTTCCAGAATAAAGAAAGATTTGTATTGTATTGTAAGAGGGAGAACCTCACTTCAGCCATGCGAAGCCATTCTCCTGCCCCCCCCCCCCCCCCCCCCCCACCAACAGAATGACCTTCCAGTTGATGTTTGTAAACATTTCCAAACTATTTATTAAGTTGATTTTTAAACCTTTTAATTTCTTTGGTACATTGTATTTTTATTGTTTTTACCTCTTTTTTCTTTTATCTGTAATTATGTTACAAATACAAATTTAATCAGCTGTTTGCAAAATAATCTGTGAATTTTGTTATGTTTCATTTTCAAATTGGTTCAGTCCATGCTAGCATGGATTAATTACGAAACTTTAAATGATAATGGTGATGGTTGATAAAATATAAAAAGATGTACACACATCATTAAATATCAGCTTGGTAGAAAACATACAACTGATTTTTTTCAGCCACTTAGTATTTTTTAAAAATCAACCAATTTCTTTATTCAATTTATCAACTCAGAAACAGATAAAAAAGGAAGCAAATGGACAGGTTCCACAGACTCAAGGTCCAAACAAAGGGAAAACGCCCAGGAATTAAAACATCAAGACATCAGAAATACATATTTATAACTGACTGTTATATATATACAATTTATAACTGACTGTCTCCACAGTAATAATTATTGTTAATTGGAGTGAAGGACATATAAAAATGATCATGTAAATCAAGGGATGTAAATAGAAGGGACATATGGTAATGTAAAGATGTGAATGTGAATAAGGGTTAAATTATTTTTACTTAATATGGACCTTTCGGGAGACCAGTACATCAATTGTATTGAAATGAGCTTTCTAGAATAAAGAAAGATTTGTATTGTATATTATTGTAAGAGGGAGAACCCCACTTCAGCCATGCAAAGCCATTCTCCCCCCTCTCCCATGAAAAATTTAGGGGTTTTTTTTTAAATCTTTGGTCATAATACTAGGAAAAATTTGTAAACAGAATAATATACAGTGATAAAAATGTTCAAATAAAATAATAGAGGGGCGTATGCTGGTGGGTGTAATGTAAACTTATTGGTCTTTCTCATTATTTTTGTTTATTTCTTTGGTCTTATTACTGGAAAAATTTGTACACAAAATAATATACAGTGATAAAATTAATGTTCAAATAAAATAATGAAGAGGTGTATGCTGGTGGGTGTAATGTAAACTTAATGGTCATTCTTATTATTATAACCCACTTATTGGAATTTATTTGCCGCTGTGGGGGGTGTATGCGAACCACATAATCCCCTAGCCTACATGCATGTATAATGTGAAATTCTTTAAAGATTTTATTTAACATTAGAGTAAATTTAACACATGCTTAACAGATTTGTCTCTAAAAATAATTACTATAATATAAGAACTTGACCAGAATTAATATTGCCAAAACCAAAAACTGACTACAAAAAGAGAAGTTAGTCATATAGAGGTGCCAAAATTTGGAATGAAATTAGCAATGATGTTAAAAATGTTAAGAAATTGTCCTTATTTAAAAAGTATTGCGACATTGTAACACGTAACTGTTAACACCTTTATGGTAGTTTCTTACATAAACTACAATATTTTTTTTTTTGTTCAAGTTTGTTCAGTGTAATTAAGTTAGTTTTAAGTCTAGTTTAGATATTTGTGTGTTTAAACAATTGTTTGATTTGTATATTTTTCTCTTGATTTTCTGGTTAAATTATTGTATACAACTATTACTTGGGCCAAGTTTTCCGTGTTTTAAATAAAGGTTATTATTATTATTGAGCATAGGGAAATAATAGATAGTTGTGATACTGAAGTTGATTTGAGCCAAGCATGGTTCAGTTATGTTTGATTCACTAGAAAATTTAAAAAGGTAAATTAATATGATTAATTCAGCAGTTTGCCCCACTTAATTTCAAACTTTCATCAACATTTAGTTGTTTTTTTTTTCTAAATCACTTTTATTCATTTAATCCATGTAAAAATATACACAAAAATATTCTACTTTCTATGACACAACAGGAGGCAAATTTTAAAGAAAATGAATCGAATACAAGAAAAAAAAGCGAATAAAAACTATATTGGGCGACAAGGGAGTAAAAACACATAGAAAAAGAACACAAAATTGAGAAAAACAGACAGTTATGTGAGCATTGCACATTTCGAGAAGTAGGCCTAGTAAAATTTAAAAACTTTTTGTTCAACTTATTGTATGTTTATTTTTCCTATATGCATTTCAACAAGTGAAAAATTTAGTTTCTCATTCTATGCTGCAAGAGCAACATTATATATGTCATTGATTCTATAAATAATAATTTGACACTTAGTCTCCTGTGATTTTTTTTATGAGATGATATAATCTGTTCATTTAACCTCCACCCAGTTTTATCATCAGAGAATGGGTTGTTGGACTTACTGTAAGTGCTGTCCAAACTGTCATATTTTACAATAACATGCGTCATGCCTATATATGGTCATTACGACATCACGTGAACATATAGCCATATATAGGCACATCTTGACAATATTTGGGCATACAACAGTTTTTTGTCAAAGAAAATTTGATAGTTTTTTTTTTAAATTGAGCTTAAATCATTTTTGAGACAGACCCCAGAAAGGCTGCTGAATTGAGTTGCCAATTAAGTTATCTATAAGAAAAAAAATACAGTGATAACTTCGAAGAACTTCTGTTGAGGAAATCATAAATCACATTAAGTACGATTACTTTGCTGCTGGAACTTAATAAAAAAAAATTTTTCCCTTGTATTTCTAAATCAAGAGCTGATTTAATTTAAATCGCAGTCTCATCAACAAGTCTCATCAACTGGATTTAACTGGTTTGGCTGTTTGAAAAGCTTGCCTAAACTTAAAAAAAGTATGACAATTGGATGGGTAGAGTTATCTGTCAGCTTGTTATCTTCCACAGGAACTTAATTTTTTATAAGGGCCATTTTTTTTGTATAGGAAGACCTAATTTTGACAGTTAATATAATCAAATCAGTTTAAAAATGATCCTAATCACATTGCCAATGCAACTGTCACCTCTGTCATTTTTAAGAACCAGATAATAGCAATGAATGCGATGTGTCACTACGATAAACTAATACAATCCTTACCTAGGCTATAAACCAGGATATAAATATTGTATCTGATTGTAATTAATCATGACTTGTATTCTACAGTTGTCTCGGAATCGATACCGAAAAGCCATCAAACACAAAAAACAAACTGCTCAACGGATGAAGAAGATGTAAATGACTTGTTTTGCGGGTTTTTAGCATCTGCTTTGCATCCTTATTCAGGAACTCGCAAGGATGTCTATACCATTCAATTTGATATCCGCATCAAGAAAAGGAAGAGCGGTACAACACTATGTGATATGTGAGTTTCTGTTTTCGCTAATAATTAGCGAGGCTTGTTCTTGTGCAGAAGGATTTAATGAAATCAAGAGAAAAAACAATGAATCAATACTTTTCTTGTGGGAAGTTGGAGTTTGAATTATAATTTATAATGAGTTATTTGGTTTCAAGAAATTTAACACTCTACCTTTTTTGGGTAGTCCAATCCATACTCGTTCATCCATGATAAGGTTGTCTATTGTACTATGAGGCTGGTTGATGTACAAACTACTATATCTTACTACACTGTGACAAGGTGTAAGTATATAAAGCAGCAGTCTTGTGCTGCCATCTGAATGGTCATCAGTTGGAGGTCAATGCTGGTCACATTTCTTGTCCTTTTGCATGGCGTTGTACTCATGTTTGTTGCCTCTGTCCCCAGGAGTATTGGCTCCTGTTAGGAGGGGAATAGTTTGGAATGAAATGTTTCTGGTGTTGAGAAAGCTGCAAGACTTTGAATATTTCCCAGGGAGCTGAGGAAATTTTATAATATGATATTGTAATAAGATTGATTCCGTTTTCAGTGACCAGGAGAATCCAAGTGTGGTGAGCAAGGGTGCAGAAAAGGGGAGGGGGGTGTACAGTTGTGAGTAAATAGTACCTTGAGGAAATAATACCTCTAGATGGCCAGAAATGACACTCTAAAATACTAAAATTCATCATCATATACTATAGCTGTACAGCCTCTTTTGTTAAAATCGGAATCTTTTATGCAGCTCATTTCAACAATTTTCAGGCAACTTCTTGGCTTATGAAATTACATTGTGGTCGAAAAGTGGTGGGGGGAACAAAGCTCCTCTCCCCTTTAAATTATGTGGGGGACCTGTCCCCAATATCCAATGATTTGCGGCCATGGCGTTGAGACATTATGGGTTCATGAAGCCGATTTCCAGTTGAGACCTCATCAACAAAGCAGCAAGAGAATAGATGAGAAATTTTAAATTATAAAAACCCATTGTTAATGTATTTTTAGTTAGTAATGTTTAAAAATTAATTCAGTATTACAACTGCAGACAAAAAGAAGTATCAACCACTGGTACACCTGGAATTATTATTGAGTCACTCTAAGAAGATTGACTTCGATAAGATTCTTTAAAAAGTTAATTCATATATTTCTTCTTAATTGTTCAAATGATTAATTCATTCTTTCCTTTAGTGGTTAAATAGTTTATTGATTCATGAAATAATAATTACATCATTGATTGAATCATTTAATTATTTGAATCCTTCCAACCAGAATTGCCCAGTTCTCCATTAAACAGTAGTATTCTCTGAACTTCTCAGTTTCAAAGTTTCTCCAAGATTGAAATACTTCTGTTTATGGTCACTGCCAAATTTGTCTTATTACATTCACATGATTATGTATCGCCTCTGCGTACATCTGCCTGGTACATAATTCTATGTCCAAGGAAAACCGTTCTCAAAGGTATTGTCCAATTGTATTTGTTTTATCAGATCTTTCTAACAAGATCTAATCTTGTCAAAGCAAACCCACTTATTTTGAAAAACTTAAAAGCCAGGCACAGGAGGAATGCAAATTTTTGTTGTACAAATAAATTTCTAAAACACTGAAAGAGTGTTTGAAAAAAAAAAAAAGGAAAATGGGCATAACACATTAAGTATCTGTATGACACTCTGCTTTTGGAAGGTGTCCGCAAATATTATGAGTGTGTTTCAGGAATTTGCTTCAAAAAGGTTGAAATAAGATTTAAATTTTGTACATTTTTTTTTTGAACCAATATTGTTATTGACTCTGGGCAATTACAATGTTCAAGATTCAATTTTTTTCTAATAAATATTAATATTTTATGAAAGTTACTTCTTTATGTTGTTTTTATTTTTGCATTTATTGTGTTAAAATATCATTTCTTGGAGTAAAATGTTTTAATTCCAGAATCTTGGGCACAATTTTTATAAATGGCAATTTTGTTCCTCTAAAATGCCAGTATTGTTTCTGTAAGTGGAAATCATTTTTCCCTATTAAGTTTTGTATTATTTTGCATTTATTGATCTAAGAACACACGCTTTCCTGACAGTGTACTCAAACGCAAATAAGAAAAAAGTAGCACAGCAAATCAAGGTCATGAAATCATCATCATCATCATCATCATCATCACCACCTCCATTTTCTGGTAGTGTGCATAACCTCCAATGTTGCACAGTGTATAACACCCTGTGCTAATAAAATAATATAGCATTTGTTGGGGCTCACACCTTGACAACTTTTGAGTATAATGAAATATAATATAACAGTAGTGTAAACAGGGGTGGCCTCACGATGCCTGAGCGCCTCATGGAAAAAAAAATAGTAAAATAAAATGGAAATAAATTGCAAAGCAAGTTTAGATGTTAACAGACAATTTATGTTGTAGTCATAGCCATCAATATGCTCCCTAGTTTTGGACCTTGCATAAAGTTCAGTGAATGTATTCAGCATGCCCACCCCTTCAAAATCTTTGATACACCACTGTTATAGCAACAGAAGATTGTTGCTGCAGATGCAGGGGATGCAGACGGTGTGATCGCACTCCTCAAAATTCTATTAAGAAAAACAATTCTTGTATTGTTGATACGGTAAGATATTTAAGGTAGGAGAGTGCAATTTCCGGGCACCTAAAGGTGCTTATTCTCAAACTTTTTGCACCTCAGCCCGAAGTATGCTGGCCCTGAGGTTGTATGAACTGTGACGCACCCATGTTCCAAAATTATTTGCATCCGCCAAAGGATTGACTAATCTGTAGCGCAGAGGAATTTCCAAGGTTTCATTGGCCAATAATTTATGAATTGTCATAATAAAAAAAAATTATTTCATTGCCAACATGGATACTGTACACTTCAATAATCAAATGTTTTTTTTTTAAAGATCGCAGATGTCTGTAATGTTTTAAGATCAAGGACGAGTTTAAATGGCATGATTTCCTAAGATGATGATCACTTCATAAAAACTAGTGATACAAGATTATTAACATACAGTATATCTCATACTTTTAAGCATGCCTTAAGGCGCTACTGAAATCTAATTAAATTATGAGAACGAAAACAAAACTAAAGACATTTGGCAAAGATTTCTACACTTTAATTCCTATTTCTAAATGTTCCAAGTTAATAAAATTTTTAAATTAAGAAAGGAAAGATTTCCTGAATGTATCAATAAATGCCCAATAGACCTTATCTACTGATTATGATTACTAATTGGTACTTATAACGTTTTAATATGACAATATATAAAATTTGAGAAAGCTTAAGTGATCATGACTGAATATAATTTTTTTTTCTTTTGCCTGTGAAATTTACACATTAAATATTATCTATTGTAGCTTTTAAAATGAAACGTTTTACTTGCCAAAAATATGACTGGAAATTTGATATAAAAGATATTGAAAAATGTTATTTTCCATCATAATTTAGCTGTTGAAAATAGTCCTGTTGTTTCTGGTCTCTACACTAATTTAAGGCTTCTGAAACAAGGCCCCCCCCTACAGATACCCAGCCACCCCCACACCAGCACTCTTTTGTCAACCAGGTCAGCTACTGGTTTGTCATGCCATATGTTTATCTGCCAGTGTTAATTTTTAAACATAAACTGAAGAATTGCAGAGGCATTATCATAGTCTGTAAAGGACTAATATATTTACCGATTCAATCTCCCCATGGAACAGATGATTCAGCTAAAATTCCACATTGTGTAGCAAACATGGAAGAAGTTGTTAAACTTGCTAATTTTAGACTGCATTGTGGGTAAGAACAGGCTAATTTTAGACTGCATTGTGGGTAAGGAGTAGCTAAGAAAATCCCATTAACTGTCAAAAGAATATCTGAGTACAACGTAATTTGACATCTCCATTGTGTTCTAATTATTAGAAATTTTGCTGTAAATTTGTTTTCTCTGCCCCAGGGTATAAAATCTAACTGGATTACCTGCTTCCGCGGATGTTCCTGAGCGCTGTGTGTGATATAAACGTAATTGTTTCAATTACGTCGGGATGAAAAAACGTGGTCACTTGTGACTTGAAATAATGTTTATATCTTACATTTTAATTCGGATAGACAAGTAAATAATTTAATGTGGTCATACCGCCAAATAAAAAAATTAGGTTTATTAATTTGATTCAAAAGTAGAAAAGGTAACTCATTGTTTTATATCTATGCATGTCTGTCCAATGATACCTTGGCCATGTGCTTCCAAAATCAAGTTAATAATTTTATTGTGTTGGGTTTCACAATCTAAGTGTGTTTCCTCAGAACAAAGACAACAAGCTAAACAACACCTAGAAGTGCCATTATCCTAAATATTTACACAGCGCCACCAACGAGAAAGTTAATTTTAGAGACGGAAAAAAAAAAAAATTGAGTATGGGATGCCAATTAAATTAGGTATGGCGCACACTAAGTGCAATAAAGAGTGAGTAACCCAAAATTAGGGCCTGGAACCCAGGCTAAATTTAAGTCAAATGACCGTAGATAGATCTAGTTTTAGATCTAAGTCAAGGATGGCTAAACTGGTTCAAACTGTCAAAAATTTTGACATTTTTGTAATTAACAAGCGTATTTCCTTTACTGTGGTTTGAGTTTAACTTTGGGTAAAAATTCGTAAGCACCCATTTTTACCTTTTAATCATGTCCTCATTTTTATTTGTAGATCTATATATTGTATTTATTTGTCATTGGGAGACATCTTTGTAATCTACATCAAGTGACCTATATGCTATATTAAGCATATCTATTTGTAAGTAGGTCATTATTCGTAAAGTGGGTCATATAAGCCCAGAATGTCCAGTCATCATCATTTCTGTAGTAATTGCTTTTCCCTTTATGCAATTTATTGATTGCCATTTCCCCATATTTTTTTTAAAGTTTCAATATTATCCACATGAGTTGCCTTTCAGTTTACTGTTAGAACTGAAGACATCATAGTATGCCTACCCAAAAATAAACATGTTTTTAATATTTAATATCAATTTTAATGAAAAATATATTAAGTAAGGCATTATTTTTTAAGTAATTTCTTTAATAATTTATTATCAAACATCCAAGGCAAGCAATGAATTTGGGTTTAAATTTCTTTGGTTTGAACAAAAAACAACATACACTATGAAAGTTTGTTGACCTGATGCCAATGTATTCTATTGATGTGTACAGTGTCTATGAAGATATTGCTTGTGACCCCTTCTCTCATTCAACCATCATACTGTATTATCTTTGGAGGTCAAGTACCTCTTGTCTTGAAGCTGTCTCTGATTACCATTTTCAATTATTCATGTAAATTTTGCCTCCGTTATGCATACTTTGTGTAGAGGTGTTCCATGTCGTTAATGTTCTAATAACTTCAACAACAAATATTGCATCTGAAAAGAAAGTTTGTGAAATATAGATAACATTAAACTACGGTCAGTGACTAGCAAGTAGTATTTGCCTGTCTGACTTAAGTAGTGTGCAGAAAATAGACCTGTACAGCAGAAAAATGACCATTAATTATGAATTAGAGTTTAGATACGCATTCTCAATGTTGGCACCCCCAGGCTGTTTCCCCCCCCCCTAACCAAAACTAGTCTACAGGTACATCCCTTGACAGTGTTTTGCTACAACCATGATGGGACTGAGGTGAGTGGACTCCCTGTCGAAATCTTAGATTTTGGAGGCCTTGGACACTTCACTAGAACTATAATGTTGTAGTCCCTATTACTTTCAACAATGAAACTAATATAAAAATAAATTAATATATCTCTTTATCCTGATAATCTAATTTTATTGTTCATGATGGCCTCAGATTATTTATAAACTTGGCTTCGTTTGTCCATCCCTTCCAAGAATTTGGCACAAATTGAAGAAAACATGTGTTGACATGTTTACTATTGGAATATCTTTAAATCCTATAATTCAGTATACTTCCCATTGAAGAGACAGGGGTCAAGGGATAACATGTTCACAGGTTAACTCAATTAGGCAGTAGTGTATCTAATCCAGCATTTGTAGAACTGTGGCAACAGGCAAATGGGCCATGTTTTCAAATCGGACAACTTGTTATTTTAATCTATATAATTGGATAAAGGTATTGATTTAATATGTTGTGATTTTCAGTAGGTAAATGTTGGCTGGGCCCGTGGGGTAGCTACCAGTCTTGAAATGGATTGGCTGATGGGAGAGCGTGAAGGTAACATGGGGGGGGGGCTCGATGATTAGGTTAGCGGCGCTAGCTTGCAAAATAAGGTAATTTTAGGCGATTCTTAACTATTTGAGCTTGAATTTTTTTTGTTTTGGGTGGTGCAAATATTTTTTGGAGGATTGGGGAAAAGGAGTCAGGTACCCCTTTGATCTAGTAAAATGTGGTAAGTGATCAAGCTCTGCAAGGCTCTAAATGACTGTTTGAATTAATATTATTATAAAACAAAATTAATGGTTAGAGAAACGAGGCCAGGTAGGGGCCGTCCTAAATCATCACAGATTGGACGGGGATGAGTGTGACATTTTGTTTGAGGGAGGCAGAGGATCGAGTGAGGTGGAAGAGGAGGTTGGCATCTTGAAAGTTCCCCAACGGTCTTCGGACTATGAGAGTGACCTCACCTGACCTGATATACTTTACATATAAGGCTAATAT